ATTTTGGTTACCTAATACAACAAAACATGATTGAACTATCAAAAAAGGACATGATACTTCCATATGGTGACTTAATTACTAGACTAATCCATGCATATGATATAGTCATTCCACCTGACAAAGAAATCTTAAAACTAGATAGGTTCAACATCATAAATAGAAACCTACTAAGAAGATTAAGATGTATAGTCAAAAGTAAGACTTGGACTAGATTACCTAGAAGGAATGACCCCCTCTTGATCTAGAACTTGAAACACTAATATTTAGGGGAAATCAATCTCCTCCTACTAGTCCCTTTGAGGCAACACCTCCAACAGAGCAAGCACCCTCCTCATCTACCGATGACATAGGGACTCGAATGGATCTATTTGAACAACGTCAATATCAAATTTTAATAGAGTTGTAGCAAATTCATCAACAACTTAATACTCTATTTAGATATTTTGACTTACTACCACCTAAATAGCTATTATATATCTTTTTGTTGATGACAAAGGGGGAGAAGTTGACAGAATCTCTCTCTTTAATGTTGTGAACTTTTGATGTTGTGTTCACTTTTGATATTGTGATCTCTTTAATGTTGATAATTTTTGAATGTTACCATGCAACGATGCAATGTGGGATTCTTCTTAATATTATGAATTTTTTAATATTACCATGCAATAATGAAAGTATCATAAATGTTATATCAAGATGATGTATCATGCAAGTAGTGATGTAAGGCTATGCCCGAAGCATTTTATCATGCATGAAGTGATGAAATTGTGCATTTAATATCTTGATGACTTGAAACTATGATGATGCACAATGCATATGACTTCTAATTAAAATCGATTAAAGCTTGAATTCAAGGTTGTGAATTCAAGTTTATATTCTATCAAATATGACATATAGATTGGGGAGTTAAGGTTAACTCTGTCATCAATTGGTTGTCATCATAAAAAAGGGAGAGATTATTGAATTTTAGATTTTAATGATGAAATTAATTGATAAATTATTTGATCTAATTTATATGTTGAGATAAGTATACAGGATTAACTATAATAACGGTAAGGCATAAAGCGGATATTGGGTTGGAGTCAAAGATTGGACGATACATCAAAGATTTGGACAATATACCAGAAGTTTGCTGGAAGCTCGCCAAGAGTTCATCAGGAGCTCACCGAGAGTTTGTTGGAAGTTCGCCGAGTATTCGTTGAGAGTTCGCTAAGAGTTCGTCGGGAGTTCACCGAGAAGTTCGCCGGAAGATCGCCGAGAGAATAATCAATATACCGGAAGATCACCGAGAGAACAATGGTACCGCCCTATCAAGCGATGGTACCACCAGAGCTCGGTCTCCGAAGCTCTATCAGGCAATCGTACCGCCCAATGTTAGTCTATAAGCGGTAGTACCGCCCAATAATAACGGCGGTACCACCAATACCTTGAAATCTAAGGATGTGACATTTTTTTGCTCCAATTTAGAAACCATTGGGGTCTATAAATACCCCACCCTTTTCTACATGAAAGAGTATGAATAATATCTTGAATTCTTAGGGTGTTAAAAGTGTTGTAAAAGTGCAAAGAGTCCTCCTCCTCCCATTTTAGTGTTGTGATCATTCAAGAGAGGTGTGAGGCTTGTAACGGTTATCTCCTAAACCTGTGAAAAGGAGAAAGCACTATAAAGAGGTGGTTCATCTTCGCCTATTGAAATAAGACTATTAGTGGATGTCGGTGACCTCGACAGAGGAGGAATCGGAAGTGGATGTAGATCACAACGACAGAACCACTATAAATTCTGGTTTGTATTTCTATTATTATCATTTACTTACTTTGCAATTGTCTCACTTTCTCCTTACTTGGCTTTCACTACCCTTACGAACAAACATGCTTTCAAGTTATATTTTGATATCGATTTTTTTAACGTATAAAGAATTTTAAATCGACGTTTTTATCCGCTGTACTAATTCAACCCCCATCTTAGTGCCAACTCGATCCTAATACTTCTCCTCTTTCTTCCCTTGCTACCTACCCCTAACTTGGGCATGAGGACAGTAAGAAGGGCTAGCCCCTTCTTGTTTTACTACTACGTGATGATGCGTGAAGGTCAAGAAAGGACGTGTTGCGAGAGGAGATGCGTCGCCGTTTCATCCATCGTGTGAATCACTTTTAGGAGTTTATTAGAGCTCCATCATTCATAGACTAAGATTTACATGTTAGGGAATATATGATCTCTCCTAGGTGGGAACGTCTCACACATCTTACGCAATTTTTGGTTTCATGTGTTTTTCACTCCCAATCATTGCATGACGATTTGATATAATTTTTTGAGAAATTAGTTTTTATTTTTTTTTCTACTATACTTTTCCCAAGGTTTTTCAATAGTTTTTATATAATATTTTTTAATATTTGAGTTTTTAAATATGTCCCTAAGCTATGATAAAATTTTGGTCTATAAAAGTCGACTCCTAATATACGATATTCTGATATTAATTGAACTCCAAAATTATAGTATCAATCTCAAAAGTCCAAACACCAAAATTTTTAAGCAAGCTCTCAATTATGACCACATGGACCTTTACAACAAATTTTTAAATTGAGATTTTTTTGATATTTTTTGTTTATTTAAACTGGGGTTTTTCTATTTTCTCAATTTTTTATTTCGATCATAACATAAATATCTTTATATAATATTTTATGATATTTACCTAGGTATGGTAAAAAGTTAGTCCAAAATAATCAACTATTGAACGTTTATAAGAATATTTAATTGCAACAACATAAACCTCTATAACAAATTTTCTAATTAAGCGATTTATTTTGATAATTTTATATTTCTATTCAAATCTGAACAGTTTGATATTTTTTATTTTCTCAATTTTTTCATTTCCACGAAACATGATGTCTTTATGTATTATTTTTTGACATTTTAGCTTTTAAATATCTTTAAGTTATGATAAAAGTTGGTTCAAAACAGTCTACTCATGATATTTGATATCTTGATTTTCATTAGATCCTAAAATCAAAGTATCAACATGGTACAAATGCTACAAAATTTGTAGGAAAACTTTCAATTAAAACTATATGGACCTCTATAATAAATTTTCTAATTTAGAGATTTTTTTTTTATTTTTTGATTTATTCAGAATTCGAATAATTTAGGGTTTTTTATTTTTTTTCCTTGCGTTTACCAATTTTATCAAAATATGATGCCTTTATGTGATTTTTTTTTATATTTGTGCTTTTAAATGCATCTCTAAATGTTAAAAGTTTAGTCTACAAAACACAACTTTTGATATATGATATCTTGATTTTCGTTAGATTTTAAAATTAGAGTATCGACCTTAAAGAATAATTCAAATATTATGATATTTTCAGAAAGATTTTAATTACAACCACATGGACCTTTATAATAAATTTTATAAGAGAATTTTTTGATATTTTTATTTATTCATAATCTGAATAGTTTGAGATTATTTTATTTTCTTTATATTTTTTCCAATTCCATCAAAATGTAATGTCTTCATATAATCTTCTTTTTTAATATTCAAACTTCTAAATATGTCCTTAAGCTATGATAGAAATTTGCCCCACAAAAGTAAATTTCTAGCATATGATGCTATGATTTTGGTTGGACCTCAAAATTAGAGTATCAATCTCAAAAAATAGTTCAAATGTTATAAAATTTTTAGAAAAGCTTTTAATTGGAACCACATGGACTTCTATAATTTATTTTTTTAAATTCAGAGAAGTTTTTAATATTTTTTTGATTTATTTAGAATATGAACAGTTTGAGATTTTTTTATATTCTCCATGTTTTTTCTTTTGACCAAACCATGATGCCTTTATATAATATTTTTTGACATTCAAGTTTCTAAATATGTCTCTAAGCTAGTATAAAACGTTGGCCCTAAAAGTTCAACTCTTAGTATTCTATATCCTGATTTTGATTGGACTCCAAAAACTTTAAATTATTGACATCAAGAAATGGTGTAAATGTTATGAAAGTTTTTTAAAAAAATTCAATTTCAATTTCAACCACATGGACCTCTATAATTAATTTTCTAATTAAGAGATCTATTTTGATATTTTTTTAAAATTTGAATAGTTTGATATTTTCTATTGTCTTTATTTTGGCAAAAATATGATGTCTTTGTACAATTTTTTTTTTTGATAATTGAGGTGCTAAATATGTCCCAAAGGCATGATAAAAATTTAATGATAGAAAATAAACTCTTTGTATCTAATATCCTAATTTTGATTGATCCCAAAATTAGATTATCGATTAAAAGAGGGAAAGAGTGTAATACGAGTGAGTTGAAGGAAACTGCTTGTTTCATCTAACTAAATCAGCAAAGGACATTTGAACAATGTGTATGCTAACTTATGTTTAGATAATGTATTTTGTAAGATTTTATTAGATATATGAAAAACACAAGTTAAATTCATGAAAAATATAATTGATTGAGTCTTTTTTGAATTTCAAACTTTCGTAGGAGAGTTTTAGATAACTAAGGTATAAATCTATTATGAGTTATTGAGTAACTCTTTACTGATGGCAGCAATGCTAGAAATCGATGATGAAATGTGTTGGAACTCAACAATAACACTGGAAAGGAGGTGACTGCGAATGACTATGATAAACTCAATGGTGGTACTGAAAACCCTAAAACCTTAAGTTATAGGAAAAAAAAATTAGAATAACATCTACGAATAAATATTGTCAATGTGGAAGATGAAAGGTAATACACCTAACGGACATTCTCTGGAATTAGAAAAACTATATACGATGTACGTACCCAATCAATTCATAATTAATTAATTAATGTTTTTTATTCGAGCCAATATGAACGAACCTTTTAGTCATTCTACAAAAGTGTATTCCAATTATTTAAAAAAATTAAGGCGCTGTTAAAAAGTTTTCTAAGATTAAATTAAATTAGGAATTTTTTTTCGAAAATTCGCCCATAAAACAATTCCATAAAACAATATGAGTATTTTTTTTAACCCTTGCAGGGATGATTGGCCATCGCCTCCGCCCGCAACCCCATCACCACCACCTCCTCTCCTTCTCCGCTCCCATGGGAGAACAAACCATCCACTCCACCCAATCTCTCTCCTCCTCCGCCCTTTCCACCACCACCACCACCGCCGCTGCCCCCCCTGCCACCTCCAACAACCTCCCCACCGACCCTGCCGCTGTTAGCACCACCATCATCACCGCCGCCACCACCACCATCTCTCTCCGCCCACGAAAGATCCGAAAGGTTTCTTCCTCCTTCTCCTCCTCGGTGTTGGCCGAAGACGCCTTCAAGAAGAACCCTTCCTCCGATGGCCGCCTCGCCGTCCGCGTGATCCCTCGCCCGCTGTCCGCCGACGGGGAGATCGTCGTCGCCCTCCGCCACCTCCGCGCCGCCGACCCCCACCTCGGCCGCGTCATGGACGCCCACGAGCTCCCGGCCTTCCAGTACCTCCACCCGCCCTTCCACGCCCTCGCCCGCAGCATCCTCTACCAGCAGCTCGCCTTCAAGGCCGCCGCCTCCGTCTACTCCCGCTTCCTCTCCCTCTGTGGCGGCGAGGCCGGCGTCGTGCCCGAGGCCATCCTCGCCCTCACGCCCCATCAGCTCCGCCAGATCGGCGTCTCCGGCCGCAAGGCTTCCTACCTCCACGACCTCGCCCGAAAGTACCACACCGGTATCCTCTCCGACGCTGCCATCGTTGCCATGGACGACAAGTCTCTCTTCACTATGCTCACCATGGTCAAAGGCATCGGCGCCTGGTCCGTCCACATGTTTATGATCTTCTCTCTCCACCGCCCGGATGTGCTTCCCGTCGGCGACCTCGGCGTACGTAAGGGGGTGCAGATGCTTTATGGTCTTGAGGAGGTTCCGCGGCCTTCGCAGATGGACCAGCTCTGCGAGCAGTGGAGACCCTATCGCTCCGTTGGTTCCTGGTACATGTGGCGCCTCGTCGAGGCAAAGGGCACCTCCACTATGGCTTCATCCAACACTGAAGGGGGAGGACTCGATATTACTACCATGGAAGAAGGAATAGTGCAGCAACAACAGCTTGTCGATCCAATTCAGATGCTTCCCAGTCTTGGATGAGAACTGTACGATGCCTACTGGTACTGCTTAGATTTTCCACCAAAGCTAGCTTATTGAAATGGATATTTGTTCTTCTTTGTTTCCTCTATTCAATGAGCTGAGCTGCTGTCTGCACTGAAGTTGTCTGCTATCTTAGTGTAATTCATCGCATGTCCAGTGTTGTGTTTTTTTCGTTAAGTGGAGAATCCCAAAGCCACTGGTAGGGCAGCCTGTATGGTACTTAACTTTGACACTTATACATTTCATTGGCAGATGGTGGAAACAGAATAATGTTGTAATACTGTTGGTCATCTAGTGACTGTAAATTACAAGCTAGAACAAATTTGATCATCCATAGTCAGGATTGTTGCAGTTTTATTGCAAAATTATTTATGATTATGTGCGATTGGATATTATCATGCTTGTTTATTTGCATTGTCACTTGATGGCAACATGTAGTGGTGATCATTCAATGAGTTCAATGGTGGAAAACGATTCATGTGGATGACTCCATGTAATTGGTGTATCATGAGATGTTTTAATTATTGCTAGACTTCTTCACCCAAAACGAAATGCTACGTTATTACATAATAGAATCAAAGTGCAATTGTGCTCATTGGTTTTTCTTTATGATATTGTATTATTTTTCATAAGACTTTATTATCTGATGTTGTTATTCATTATTTACTGATTGTTTCGAGTTATATGGCCAAAGTGTATCATGATATTACAACTCATTGAACTCTGTTGAAGGCAATATTACTTGTCAAACTAAAGAGCAATTGATTTTATTATTATTATCGTTGAAGTCTTCTCAGAACTTTATCTTTCCTTGCACTACCATTTTCAGTTTATTCAGTTTGACTAATTGGCACATCTATAGATCTTCTATGGACATATCCATACTATCATAAACATTTTTCCTCGTCTAATCCTTCGCCCTAATTGTTCTTGATTGTTATTATTTCATATGCTACCTTTCTAAATGACCTCACATTTCGGCACACTATTTAAAATTCGTTAGACGTAAGCATGTTTAGCAATATATTAGAAGGAATAAAATGTGTCTTCTGAATATTCATTAATATAAGAATGATGCATGACGTGCAAAATGCTTGATTCTGTAACAAATCTGTTTGTTTGTACATGATTTGCAAGTTAGTGCTGCATGGTAATGGCATCTCAGTACTACATGATTTGGAAGTTAGATACTTGTGCATACACATTTCTCAATTTTCAAATGTTCTTTAAATATCCCTCTTTCCATACCTCATAAGATAATCTTGGATTGTTTCTATGCATATCTTTTTCTTTCTGTATATCATATATTTCTTATATTTTTTAAAAATAGATATACAGATCCTATAATTTATGGCTTGCTGAGACAATTGGATACATGTTCTTGTACAACTCTTGCTTCTGTGTCCATGCAACACTTGTTTTGGATGAAAACCAGCACCTAATCTTTTCTTTTGAAGTCATACCATTCTAGGACTACAACCCCTTTCTCGTGTCTTTTCTGCTTGAAAACTATGCATTTCACACATGTAACATGCACTAGACGAAGAGGTTTTTGAGTGATGTAACAATTGATATTTGTTTTATCAAGTGAGCATTGAATACTTGTGGAAGAATATGTCATCCTTAAGTAGCAAGTCTTCACCTCTTAAGATTGCATATCTATATTGACATTGGCTTGTCGGATTGACCTAGAATTTGATTCTCTTAAGGTGATCACGAGATCTGAACCTGAGTCTCAATCTGCAACAGAAATCTGCTTGAACTATATCTGATTTCTATAATTTTCGGTAACCCATGTGCAGGGTAATAGCTGATGGTACTCATGATGGTTTCCTTGTGATCTTAGATAAATCATGAATGATACATTGCAGCATTTATAGAAAACATAAATGTGTCCATTTTATATTTTCTCAATGGAAAAAAGAAATACAGAACTACTTTTTCTGATATTGTGATGTTGCTAGTCTAATAGTATAAAGGCTGTGCATCTATCTATAACTTAGTGAAAGATTTACTTTTATCAGGTTTGTATAATGTTAGATCCAGATAATTAGTTGTAATTTACACTATCAACAAAAAGGGTGTCATTCTAGATTATGTGGATAATAAAAAGAATATAGAACTTTCACTGACGTGGCTATTACAAGTCTGATAGGTGAATGCTGTGCATATATAGATATATAGATTTTATTAGGTTTGTTTATACAGATTCGGATAGACTTAGATTCAAACACGATTCAGACCAATATTCTCAGTGGTCTATATCTGAAGCTATAGGTTATTGGATCTTGAGACAAGAGAAAAGGATTGAATCAGTTCAGTTGGTCTGATAGTTTGGGTTTATATCCAGATTATATGCTTTTTATTTAGAAAATTATCTGCTAATTGTTTGGACTGAAATAATTTCTGTGAAAAGAACATCATTATTATGAAACTCTGTTAATATTGGTGCTGGTTGTGTTAATTGACCATCTACAAGTTGACCAGCTACGAAACTTGAAATTATATCTCAATTCAGTTCATCAAGGAGTTGTGTTTCATAAAAAAGGTTTTGGAAATCCTATTCTCTTTTTCAAATGCTGGTTTTAGATGTCAATATTGTTTTTCTTGTAATTATTAGTTTAATTGGCATGTTTTATGTGTTGTAATTTGATATTGAGCATCCTGTCACCTTTTTATGTATGATAAGTTTGATGTTCTTGTCCTTTTAAGATTAATTGACAAATTTTTTTGATCCAATAAAATATCGGGCATCCTAACACCTTTTTTATTCATGATTTTTGGTATGTGGATATAATACATCAAACAAGGCACTTTGGCCAAGTAAATAGTGGATATAAGCTTAGAATGTAAATTGTAGTAGATCTGTATTTAGGCTACTTAAGTGTCAGCATTGAATTTTAAGCGTGCTTACACTATGGATTTCCTTATTGGTTTAATAACTGTAATACACAAATGCTGAGATGGGTCTTGTGCAAGTGATATAAAGTGAATTAATTAAAATCTCTGCCAGTTCTGTTATTTTTTTTTTTTTTTCCTTGTCTTCTATGTTTTAATATCAAGAATTTCTTTCCAACACATGGAGATGCTTGTTGTGGCTGTAGGGTAGATTTTACTTCCAACAAATTTATTTTGTCCACATTAGTAAGACCCCTAGGATTTTATCATAGAAGAAGAGAGAAAAAGGGATGATCACTTCGAGGGGATCGACCTTCATGATCACTTTGAGGGGATCGATATCCTAGAGTTTGTCAAAAGATTGAATAATATTTCATTGATTGCCGAAAAGAAACAGTTACATCCCTATTTATAGAGTTCCACCTAGAGTTCAAGACTTGGATTCTTAATAATAAATAAATATTAAATAAACCCTTCTCCAACTCTTATCGAATTAAGCAAACTCATGAGCAGCATTAAACTCGGGGAATTTCTCTTTCAGCACTTCAGTCACAAGGTATCTACGATGCATCACAACCTGTTGATCAAGTATGGTCTTCACTTCTTGATAGTGTAAGCAATATGTCGGTTTTTCGGTGTAGTAGTCATTGTAGTTTTTGAAAAACCATCTCCATCCGATGACTAATGGCAATTGTGACCTTACTTCCACATCTTCCCTTTGGGATCATCAGCTTTCTATTAATAAAAAACTTCATGATTAGTTTAGAAAAATTCCATGAAACATCACCCAAAGTTGATAGCCATTCAATTTCAAGCACCACTTCGAAGTTTTCCAAGGGTAGCAAAAAGAAATCCACAAGCAACTCTTGGCCCTATATAATCAACTTTATTTTCGAACATTTGCTATCACAAGTTAAATTTTGTTCATCGACGACCTTTACTTTGAATTTGTTACAGCTTTCAATGTGTTAGGCCAATCAGTCAGCAACCTTACTATTCATAAAATTGTTAGTGTTATCAGTATCAATCAAAACTATAACATGCTAATGTTCCAAAGTTTCTCCAACTTTCATAGTTTGCGGGTTAGAGTAACCGACTAATGCATGCACTGTATGTATGATAGGTCCAACATCTTCATCAAAATCTATATCTTCATTGATCGGAGTCTACATTGTTAGCTTCCAGTTCCTCCCCAATTGGTTCAATCATCGGATGTTGCCCTTTGTTTACATCGGTGCTCCGTACTCTACTTTTCATCACAGTGTAAGCACAAACCCTTCGCTGATCTTTCCTTGAGTTCTTCTCAGGTTAGCCTTCGAGTGTTAGGGTTTCGGCTAGGAATAGATGGGGGCGAGTGGCTTACTGATTATCCGTTTATTGTCACTTCTGTTTCGATGATTTTCCCTGCTAATTTTTTCCTCGTGTAAACGTGCAAATGATATTGCGGCTCTCGTAGTGCGGGGTTGATGAGCTTTAACTTCATACCAGATCTCTGAATTAAGTCCTTCGATAAATGTACCCACCAATTGTCGTTCGGATCAATCTCTGGCTTGATTTGACAATCGTTCAAATCTGCTCTGATATTCTAACACTGTGGAAGTTTGATGAATTTCGACGAGCTGCCCATCAACATTCTTGTATTCAGATGGTCCAAAGCGAATAATAAGTCCTCTCTTGAGTTGCTCCCACGAGGGAATCTCGTGATAGGTTTCGTATTAATCATACCATTGGATTGTATCTCCATCTTGTTCGATTGAAGCTATTTCCACTTTGGATTCTTTTGGAGTTCTATGAAAACGGAAGAATTTTTCTGCCTTAGAGATCCAACTAGTTAGATCTCCATCTTCCTATCTTGGAATTTTCACATTCATGCGTGGGTAGCTTGTGTCCTATTCTTGGTTCCTTTTTCCTGTGTCTCCAGATCAGTTCAATATAAAACTTGAACTTTTATTTTGTTGAAACTTGTCGAAGCTCTTTAATAGACGCCTTTTAAAATCGTTAAGGGTTTCTTGTAGTTTGTTCTTAATTCTGGTTTCCAAGACTTATAATTGGGCTTTCATTGAGTTGTCGGTAGTCATTGTGTATAACTGCAGATCTATAATCTCTAATTCATGTTTTTGGTGTTGGGTCAAGGGCAACAATACTGCATTATTCGGTGCGGCTGCTATGAAGTTTGGCCAAGGGTAGCATTGGGGTGAGAGCACTGCGGTCGCTTTGAGGAGGCGGCGTTAGCGTGGGGAGTGGTTCGTTGGCCGGGAACAGCGGCAGCGGCCCTTTCTCGCTCGAGCAGGATGGGGTGTGGCTGCCCTCACGCTGCTCTCGATTGGGAGGCATGTTGCTGAGGGCTGAGAGGTTGCTTGCGGCTGTTGAGGGCTAGGTGGCTGCGGTGGAACGAGGGGGGATGGTCGAGTGGCAGAAGATGCAGAGGATGGTGGATCTAGTGGCTATGGTTGTGACCCAAGGGGAGGCAGCGAGAGTCGCGGTTGGGAAGCAACGGTGGTCGCTGGCCGGGAAGCAGCAGTGGTGGTGGTGGCAACCGGCAGCTATGACAACAGAGGGATTGACGACTGCGGTGACTGCGGCGGCTACGGTTTCCCTGCTTCACCTCTTTTCTTCTTTTCCTACCGCGGTGGCAACCGGTGGATGTTGTGGATGCCGGTGGAGAAGCGGGGGTGTGCTGGCCAGGAAGCAACAGCGGCGGTGGTCGTTGGTTGGAGAGCAGTGGCGACGGTGGTCGTTGGCCGGAAGAAGGGGAAGCGGTGGTGGCGCGACGGGGAACAATGCTCTATTTATGCCGCTACGAGAAGGGAAGGTTGTTGTCGGGGTTAAGAGGCAGCAATGGCGGTACAGCTAGGAGCAGTGTCGCCGAGGGCGAGGAGCAGCAAAGGGTCACCGAGGCTAGGCGCTGTGAGGGGGTGGTCCGTTGGCCGGGAACAACGGCAGTGGCCCTTTCTCGCTCGAGTGGGATAGGGTGGCGGTTGTGGCGCAATGAGTAGGGGGGAAGCCTCGCTCGAGAAGGATGTGGCTGTGGACCCCTAGGGTTTTATCGTAGAAGAAGAGGAAAAAGGGGATGATCACTTCGAGGGGACCTCCTTGATCACTTCAAGGGGATCACCTCCTAGGTTTTGTCAAAAAACTGAATAATATTTTGTCGAAAAGAAACAATTACATCCCTATTTATAGAGTTCCACCCAGAATCCATCAGGAACTCTTAATAATAAATAAATATTAAGTAAATCCCTATTCGATTTTTATCGAACTAAGTAAACTCAACAAAACATTACTCAAAAGCTCACGTATCCTAATAATAAGATAATTTATTTGTTTGGAAGATCTACAATTTAATGATTTAAAGAGCTTGTTCCTACATTGCACAAAGTAGAAGTTAGAATACACTCAATATTCCATACCTAAGCTATCTGTTACCTATTTTGGTTATCTGATACATGATCGTCTTTGTTAAATTTATGATAATTTAAAATTATAGTTAAAAAGATGACTGGTGTGCAGAACAATGACATATGTGGTTTGCTCAATTTTGACCAGAATATGAACAATTGTTGTTGTGTTCCTGTGGACAGTTTGGTTTGACTCTGATATAGATCATCACAAATGGTCCTTTTCAACAGCCCAAATGGTCCTTTTCATTTTGCATGACAAGTCCGAATTATGTTTATTGTACATCTAAACGCATGATACTAATTTGCATTTATCTTGTGGTATTAATGTAACTATCGAAGTGCATATTTACAGATGGTACATGTGATTATTTTCAATTTGATGACATTTAAGGGAGAAATTGATGTATCACTTCATAAATGTTAAGATTCCTTCCTGAAACAAGCACCTACTACTTGTTGAAAGTTATTAATTCTTGGTCAGTAGTGTTGTAGTTAAGTGAATGTTACTTTCTACTCTAACATGGATAAGATATGCCCATTAGTGCTCAAATAACTTTAAGCTGGACATGGTGAGCTTGTACATGCACTAGAAGTGCAATCATGCTGAAACAGAAAAAGGAGATCCAAGGTACACAGGTAATAATAGGTTTGTAGGTTGTCAACTAGTTTGAAATGAATTAGATTTCTCCTCTTTGGATGGAAATTGAAAACCACTCAATTTTTAGTGGTTAACAGTTGTAATGGCAGTTCTAGAAAGACTTTTCTACTCATTTTTGTAAAGGTTGTAGTGCCGCAACAATCTGACTTTGTGCCTGTGCAGACTTTGAAGTTATCTTCTCCGAGGCTTCAGATCTGACATGCTTGTGAATTGTGATAACTAGCTTCATATTGAGTTGATTTCATATCAAGAGGCTAGATTGAGTGATCAGGTGGTCCAACAGATGAAAATATCTCATCACTGTGAGTGATCAAGTTGAAAGGTCTGTTCTAGATTATTATGGACAGAGGAGAGGAGGTGTCCCAGTTTGTTTCACTTCCATTTATGTGATCAATCACACCTTTTGATATCTACCTGCTCAGTGGTCATGACAGAATTGCCTAATGGTGTGTGGCATAGAACTTGGTTGTTGGCTGCCTCATTTTCAGGTTCGTGGTTTCTGGAGCAGGAAGGATCAGCATGGATGAAATACTCACCATGTGGAGCCAAATTTTGTTGCGAGGCCTCTGCACCGTAGAGGAAGAATGGAAGATTTGAGTTGCGGAAGCTTCCCATTGCCATCTCACACATGAAATTAGTCATCTCCCAAATGAGGTCCACCCTTGTTGACTTTATTTCTTTTTACTGATGACTTATTTTTCTTACTCTCTTTCTCTCTCTCTGTACAATATTGGAAGAGTAAAAAAACCAAAATTATGTAATAGACAGAAAATTTAAGATTTTTTTTTTTTTTTGTTATGAATCATGTCTGGGAACTTAAATACTTATCTTGCTCCATCAGTAGCAATAGATCATGAACAGCAGTTAAAAGTTGGGAGTTGATGCAATCATCTGCTCTAAATCTTCTCATTTTCATGTAGCTTACAGTGATGGGACATCCGACTTTTGCCCATAATCTCTCTCTCATCAGCAGGGCATTAACTTTGTTCCAATTAATTTGATGTGATGGAGGGTTCAGTGAGCCAAGGCCAGCAAATTGTTGGGCATGGATGGATGAGATGAAGCGATGCACCCGTTGTTTTGTGCCACAATAATAATATATTTGATATGACCTTGTAAATGTCATGCACATACTGATCCCCCCTCAGCAGACATGCTTGAATCTCAGCCAACAAGAGGCACCAGGTATTGGCCTCATTCTGTGGTAACTTTGTGCTTAGAGAGAGAGAGAGAGAGAGAGAGAGAGATGAACATATATAACATGTACAATTTTATATTCACGAGGGCTGAGGAGGAAACAGTGGTGGTGAATGCAAATGCATTGGAGAGTTGGGAATGGGTTGGCTGATGTGTCCCACCGAGTGTGGGCGGGCGGGGGGTGGTGTGGGAATGGATGGATACGCTATCACATCCTTCTTTTTGGCTTTTGAAGATTTGGTCATTCGGGGCAACATTGGATTCCATGCACACAGGGACATGGTTTCCAGCTAGCACAAAGGACATCCCCCTCTTCAACAACATTCACATCCCATCATCTCCCTTGTACCACGAATCTCTCTCTTCTCTTATTTTCCAACATGATCTAATCTTATACTAATGTTTTCTTTTTCTCTTGTATATTCTTCAAATACAAGTAATTTGGATTTTTTTTTTTTGTTGTTGCCCGGTTTCGATTTCAACCCTTGAAAAATGATGGAAGGACTTTTTCTTAATCTCAATTTGGTGCATTTTTACCTTTATCTATCCACTTGTATCGAATAAGAGAAGAAAATAATTACTCCATAGAATTTTTCAATGATAGTACAAATTGATTTGCAAAATCGCCGAAAGTAATTTAATTTTAAATGTAATATCTTTTGTATCTTATTCTTATCTGAAACACATTCTTTCCTTTTGGACTCAGCAAAGCAGTCAACATGCAACCCAAACAGGAGAAGAAGAAGATAGTTGACACTGTAATCGTAGATTAGTGATCAAGGTAAAGAAGTTCTTTGCCTAACAGTAGATAGTGACACAAAGTTGCCCGAAAAGTGTTCTACAACATATCCAACTAAGCTTTCTTGCTTTTTTTAAATATATATACAGCAAATCCCCAAATTATTTTGACAGAGATCCTACGCTCTACATTTCATTTCTCGGGAGGCTGCAAAACCCTAATTAGCATCTGGGGTGTGTACTCAGGGACATGACATCTGATACAACAACATATGGCAGGCATGAAATCCAGACTGTTGACATGATCAGTGTGCACAAGTGAACAGTAGCATGCACTTAACTCAGTACTGACCATGAACGCTGCATCATTTCGACAAATCAATTGGTGTGCAGCAGCAGTTACTTTCACAAAGGACACCCAGTCCACCACCACCACCACCTACACTGCAGGCTGATGACAGCATAGGAGGATGACCGTATGCAGGTGAGAAGAAACCCAAGCAAGGAGTAAAATAAAAGATTGGAGTGGAGGGCTTTGCTTAGACAACAAGGTGGCGGAAAAGATGAAGAAGAACACAAGGGTTGACTCGAAAGAGTGGGTGCATCCTTTCTGGTCCTTGGAATCTGACACACCAACAAGACTGCTGTGGTGGGAATTCATGGAGGGGTCCCATTAGCAGCTTTGATCCACAGTGATCAACAAGGAGATATAGGAGGATGATGGACCTCATTAGGGTGCATGCAGCATCACACAAGAAGGTATGTTGCAGAAGATAAGCTAAAATCCTTTTTTCTTACATCTAGAGGATAAAGTTAAAGGCTCATAGGCCACACATGCACACACAAACACAAAGCTACAAATAAATGTCACCAGCGGAGAGAGAGAGAGAGAGAGAGAGAGAGAGAGAGAGAAAAGATAAGAGATAAGAAAGAAGAGAGAGATAATAATTGTGGATGGGACCAATGTGCAGGGGGTGGGAGTGGTGAAGCATGACCCTGTCGGTTCTTCCTCAGCTTGAATCCCTCACACAGATCTCCCCACAATCCCCATCGCTCATTTGAGCAGCTGCAGTAAGCTTTTATAGCACTCCTTCTCCCTTCATTCCACCCTTGGTTTCATCCTCCCCACCCCTCTGATGGCAGGTAGGGCACCAAATCCCACAGCCTTCCTACTCCCTTCCAAGCCTCACCATCATTTCTCCCTCATCCTATAGCTTTAGTACTGCACTCTCTTGTTCAGTCCCTCTCATCTTTGCTGCAATAAAGAGGTGTGTGTGTCATGGAGAAGGGGCCCTTCTTCCCTCAAAGATTTTTCCAGCTGATGATTACCTTCCCCCACTGAGTTCCTTCCTTTCCCTCCACCTCCTGAGGAGTGGTGCAGTGCAGAAGGTGAAAGGTTTAAGTCTCAGCTATAGCTATATATTGAAGTTCGACTCATGGAGTTCAGAAACCTGGATGGTGACTTAGGGTTACCTCCTCCCTCTTCCCCCTCCTCCTCTCCCTTGGTTTACAATCCTCCTCCCATCAGAGGATCTGCTTTCTCTAAACCCATCCTTCCCCTCTCTTCCTCTCTTATACCCTCAAGAGGAGGAGGAGGTTGCTGTGACACTGCTGCTACTGGTGGTGAAAGAAATGGTGCTTCTTTTGGGAGCTCCACCATACCAACAGCAACCGAGGAGAATAGTTCTTCCCATTCTAACACAAGAAATCCAGATCCAGCTCCCATCTCTGTCTTGTCTCCAGTTGGAGCTGGTGCAAGTTTGCCCAACTCCATACAGTCCGCCGAAGTTAAGACGGCGGTCACCACAGTTGATGCTTCTGTAAAGTACAAGGAGTGCCTGCGGAACCACGCCGCCGCCATCGGCGGCCACGTCCTCGACGGCTGCGGCGAGTTCATGCCCGAGGGCGGCCCATCCACGCCCGAGGCGCTGAAATGTGCGGCCTGCGGCTGCCACCGGAGCTTCCACCGCAAAGACGGCGACACCGATGTCAATGCCGACAACTCCTATCACCACCACCACCATGGTGCCTCTCATCTTCCTCTCTTGCTCCCGCCTCCCCACCCGCAGTCCCACCCCTACAACCAGCAGAAGCCGTTCCCCTTCGGCTTCCCCTCGAGCCCGCCGTCGCGGGCGGTCCCGCTATCCTCGGCGGTCATGGCGTTCGGCGGCAACACGTGCGGGAGCGGAGGGACCACGACGGAGTCGTCGAGCGAGGAGCGGATCAACGCGGGGGCACCCACGCCGGCGATCGCACTGAGGAAGCGGTTCCGGACCAAGTTTACGGCGGAGCAGAAGGAGAAGATGCTGGCTTTCGCTGAGAGGGTCGGGTGGCGGATCCAGAAGCAGGAGGAAGCGGTGGTGGAGCAGTTCTGTGCCGAGGTCGGTGTGCGGAGACAAGTCTTGAAGGTCTGGATGCATAACAACAAACACGCAAACACGAAGCAGCAGCAGCTGCAGCCGCCACCGCCGCCCGTAGAGCAGGATCAACTGCAGGTGCAACAGCACCAGGAACAGCAGTAATAACAGATTGATGAGGAGAAGAAAGAAGATGAAGAAGAAGAAGAAGAAGTATCCTTGCCATGCTTTCCCTTTTGTCTCAACTTAGGCACTGATTCTTACACGAAAATTTGCAGTGATTTGTGTTGTTTGATCGTTTAGATTACCAGTAAAAGTTAGAATAAACCCCCCATCTTCTCAGTTTAGTGGTAGAGATTGTTTGAGGTCAGAGAGCTTCCAAGTTCTTTGTGGTGGCTGCACTTGTGGTCAGAGAACTTCACAACGTGGGTACCGTTCCTCCCTTGAGGTATCTCGTTTCTTCTACGACATTAATTCCTGCATTTATTGTTCTTTCCATGTTTTCGACATTGACCACTCATATGAAGTAAAACCCCATAGCAATGCATTAAATTCTTTCTTGGGATCCAAGGATGGTACTGTCTCATGATCTCACAACTGATAAGACAAAAAGAAAAAGAAGAAGAAGAAGAAGAAGAAGAAGAAGAAGAAGATGATGATGATGATGATGAAACGCATGCATGGCATCCGGTGCAGATTATTAGAGCAAATCTAACACTGTATCCAATACTAAGCTAATCCATCCTTGGGATCATAGACACATCACACTGTTCCATTAAAGACAGAGCCCAAAATGGAAGTCTCAGCTTTTAGGGACAGTCCCTTCTTTTACTGGCATTGGGATGGGGATTAGAAAAGCAAAGCAAGTTTTGTGACATTGCATGCTGCTTCTCTCTCTCTCTCTCTCACACTTTGTTACAGGGAAGCATTTCTTGGCACTGGTGCCATTGAGCCAGCATGCAGTGCCTTTTTCTTGTCTGTACTTCCACCATGGTTGCATTAAAGGGATCAAACATCTCCTGCTATTTTCCTGCCTGTTTAGCGATTCACAGCTAAAAGTTGTAGGGGTGCAGTAAAATGATTGAAGCGTGTTCTTTGTCTTCTTTATAACTTGGGGAGGCTTAAACTTGGGATTTTAAATGTTCTTCTCACACAGGAAGAGAAGAGAAAGTCTGTAAGTGGTTGGATTAGGCCAATTCCTTGAGGTTTTTCATGTATGTTAAGCGTGTGAGGATTTAGCATCGATACATATGATAAGCCCATCAAGATTCACAGATGTGTCATGGGGAATGACTAAAATGAATGTGCCATGGCGGCCTCGTATGACTCCGAGACTGCCTGCTTTGTTTGCATTCCCGGCCTTCTCCTACTCCACGGGGAGATGAGGCTTGTCCTGCCTGTTCTTGTGTTCCGCGCTCTCTCGATGGCGGAGAACATAGTGGAGACCTTCGTCGAACACTTATAACTCGACTGAGCTTTGTGATCACTTGTGTGGATTATGATTCATCGGTATGTGATGAATAACATCAAGAAGCGATTGAAAACACAGTCCCACATGTATCATGCCCGAAGCAGTACTACTGCAAATGGTGTTTTAGTTTTCGTTGAGGTGTGCATAAAAAGGTTATAGACCCCCGCCCTTGTCCACCACCGCAACATAGGCATCAAGACTTGAATTGATGCGTATCTTGCATTGGCCATTCAAGACTTTTATCCAAAAAAAATCTCTTCAAAGGTAGGCATCAAGGAATTATAGGGGAATGACAATAGAGGAGAATAGAGAAAACACTTCAAAACTTAAAAGCACAATCTACGATTTCTTACGACTCATGATAAACTCACGACTTTGACTCCAACTATGATAGTATCCTAACTAAGACTCCTAGACTAACATCATATCTAATCATAAAGTTGTAAGTTCGAGGTTGATCATGTCACTTGGGTATCATAAAACTAGACAAAACCACCGACTAAATATATAATATTTGAGAGTACATATAATATTTGAACCAAATTAATAATAGTATATTTGTCAAATTTTAAGTCTATATATATATATATATATATATATATATATATATATATATATATATATATTTATTTATTTATTTATTACTTTCAATGTGGAACTAAATCGGAGGTGTTTCGTTCCTTTAAAAAATAAAAATAATAAAAAACAAAATCTTCTCTCATGCCTAAATTTTCTAGAAATATATTACAGACTTATATTAAGTACACCAAGGCAGCAAACTGCATGCATACAAGTGCTTTTGTTTACAGCTTAAGAGGATACGAGTACAGAAAGAGAAGGCTACTAAAATATCAGTGATATCTAATCTTTCTGAAAGTCCTTCGACAGCATCTGTTCTTCATAGTGGAAATCTTAGGAGTAGCAATTCACGTCTTCATGCTTCCATTACTCCTCCAACCTGCCAAAATAAAGAGAGAGAGAGAGAGAGAGAGAGAGAGATCAGAAAACTCCAAGGTTGCTTACAAGATGTAAAAAAACAACATACATACATACATAAGACTTGATTATTTGGATGACCGCAACACAAGTTTTTTAGAACAGGAAGAACAAAGCTATCAGGAGATGCAATATGTGGAGTCAAAGAGATTACTGCTATTGCCGGATGAGGGGCAGTCGGCATACGAGAAGTGGCCCTTCTCAATGCGCCGAAGGTCCTCCACGAGCAGCTCGTAGTGGCGCCTCACCTCGTCGGACGTCTTCCCCCCGACGGCACGGGCGATCTTGTGCCAGCGGTCCGGCGTGCCCTCGTCGAACACCGCGAGGGCCTTCTCGAACATCTTGTTCTGCTTCGTCGTCCATGAGGAGGTCACCGAACCGGACGCCATCACGCGGTAGGTTAAGGGTGTTCGATGAAATGCTTGAATGGTAATGGTGAGCCGATATGGTGCTACTTATATAAGCAAGGAGGGAGTAACAATGACACAGTGTTTGCGATGTAACACCACACGGAAATCTATGGTGGGAGTAAAAAGGAAGTTCTTCCTTGACACTCTTCTGCCTGTAGATTATAGAGACAAGGAGAGTATGTTGATGATAGGATGAGATCTGATTGATCATGAAGCATGCAATGCATTCATTATGCAGGTGGATGCAATCAAACGGATGGCCAATTCAGCAGCAATATCTTCCTCTGTACAATGACATAAAGAGCTTAGAGACGCATGAGCTAAAACATGATCTTTTGATGGACTGGCACAAGTGCAGATTCCTCTTTTCACCAAGTTGCTATGGAGGATCTCGACATGCTCGAGCTGGGAAGACATTGATTCTCGGCCAGTTGCAGGTTGATTGATGCTCCTTTGATCGTTTGGTATGGCGTAAGATCCAAAAGAGTAGCTGGCTGTTCCATAGGTTAAAAAGACCCTAGAGGATAGGAACTGTTGCAGATTCTTGAGATATATGGACGTTGTGGTGTTTCGTACATAGACACCCATAGGAGATTCACCCTTGACCTATGAGATAGGAACTGGATATATATATATATATATATATATATATATCT